CATAATTGTAAATTTTAGTTACACATAATAAATAAGTACTTTAAATTAAAGGTATGTAGGATAATTTTGATTCGAAATTCAACTCGACTTGACTCATTAGAAACACTAGTGATAATTAATAGTATAATAAATAATAAACAATGATATGATAATTAATAATCTTTGTAAATTAGTATATAAACTCACTTTTATCATCAAATTCAAGTTAAATTCAATTGTTTTCTTATATTATTAATCAACTATAATTATGTCAAGAAATAATAACAATAATGTATTAAGTTAGATTCACTTAATACTGAAAAAGAAGATTTTGAAGAAGAAGTAGATGACAAGCTGAAAAATGAATATGATAAGCCTGAAACTAATGATAGTAATACTGGAAAAGTTAGGGATAATACAAAAGAAAATGAAATAAAGACTTATAATGAAAATTATTCATAAATTTCAAAAAAAGGTTTACTTGATTTTTGATTATATTTTCTTTATTCTAATTATATATTTTAAATATATTTAACTTATATTGTTATTTTATTTAATAATTTAAAGCATCACTTTTTTAGTGATGCTGATTTTCTATTATTAATCATATCAGTTAGTTAATTAGAAAACTAAAATTAATAATAGAACATAAATTTTTTTTATTATTTATATAACAAATTTTTTATATTATTAAAAAATATTTATCACAAAAATATATTAAAAATAAAAGTATTTTGCTTTAATTTATATAGTAATTGATATTAATATGATTACTGATTTATTAAAAATTTATTACAATATAAATTTTCTTTATAAAATTTTAACTAGTGAATTTTTTGCAATTCTAATAAAATTAACAGTTCAATTATAGGTTTAAGAGATAAAGAAGAAGTTCAAACTTTAGTTAAAAGTGAGGTTAGAAAGAAAATTCTCAAGATAAAACTCTCTGATAATACTTTATAAAAAAAAAATAAAAAGAGTTTAAAAAATGCATAAAATCTTTAATACTATAAGTAAATAAAAATAGTGCAGATTATATCTACCCCTTCAGAACTTATCTTAAATCTAATAGTAGATAATATGATTACCTGAAATTTTAAGACATAATACTATATCACATAATACTGGACTCTTGTGACATATGTTTAGGCTCAACAGTTAGAAAAATAGTTTATATTTATATTTCAAATATATAACTAATAATAATAAAACATTTATATATCTGCCCATATTAGGTTTATTTTACATATTATTGTTAAATATAATATAAAGTATTTTTTGTTGAATATCACAGAAAATAATTTGCTAAAATAGTTAGATTATTTTAAAATTCTTTTTAAAGATATACATACAATCTTTAGTATTTGTAAGATAGTATTTATCAGCAGATGAATATAAACTAGATTTTATTATAAGGTTAATAATAACGATAATTCTTATAATATTGAATTATAGAAAAGAAAAATTTTTGAACTTAGTAGGAATTACATCATTCTGATACATAGTATTTTAGATTGATTTATAGTAAATTCATTATTGATAGACAAAAAAAACCCCAAAGATTATATGTTAATAATACTAATTAATAAAAAGATTTATATATAAATTTATGACACAAAATATAACTTTATGATAAGAAACATTATTTTATTTATTACTACTAGAAATAAAACTAATTTTTATGATTAATATATCTATTATAATAATAAATCAATAGATAATTTTAAATACTATATACAAATATATCTTTTTGTTATTTATGACTTTTTACAATATAATTAATTTATTATAAATTCATCAAATATTATTACTTAAATATTAAATATTTTTGACAATTTACTATAGTTTTATCGATATCTTAATAATAAATTAAAAGTTTATTTATTATTAATTAAAAACTAATTTTTTATTTATTTAACTCTGATATACTTCAAAAATTATCAGTATTTTATAAAGTAAAGCTTATAGGTTTATCAGAATTTTAATTATTTAATGATAAGAAAATAAGCGTCAGTAAAAAATTAAATCTGATATAATCATAATACTTAACTGATTTTTAGTATTCTGATTCTTTATTATTTGACTAGTAGTTAATTAGATATTCGATTATAATTATTATAAGATCATCTAGATATATATTACTAAACTAAAATTTTTATTTATGTAATCATTTTAACAAAATATAATATTTTATATTATTATGAGAAAACATATTCTTAAAATTAATAATAAAAAGTAAAAATTAAAAATTTTATTTTTTAATTAAATTCTTCAGCTTTATTATAATAAATATAAGCTATGATTAAATAGTAACTAAGATTGTGACTTGTAAAATATGATAATTAAAAAAAATAAACTATACATTATTAATTTGATATAGTATATCAAAATTTATTAGATTATTTGATAGCCTTATGAAAGTTACAATTATAAGATTTATATGGTAATCTGATGAAAACCTGAAATTTATCTAATTTTTCCTTTAGATATTAAGTTCTATAATTAATTATTATGTATTAATAACTATACTGATACTTATCTGATATGACTAGATCAAGTATCAGTAAATATTGATTTTTAATTAATTCTGATAATTAACTAAAATCTGATCACTTGAAATTTCTTCATCTAACTTGTATGAAACTAACTTAAGTATTAAGTTTTGTATTCTATTTTTAGTAATAAAAAAATATAGAATACTAAAAAATTTATGATTAAGGTTACTTGTCTAAACTTATTTTAGATTTGGTAAAATATTTAAAATATAATTTCACTAAATTTTTACTAAGGTTTTAATATAGTTTTGCATTTTTATAAGCTTTGATATAATTTTATCTTTTTCAGAATTTCACAGAATTTTTAATAAGATTTTAATATAATTTACTAAATTTTACCTTTTTCTATTTAGACGACTTGCAAAATTTCTAAATTTCATCTTGCAACTTTATTTATGACTAACTTTTTAAAAATAAAAAAATTATAGAGTAATAAAAATACATAAATAGTAATTTATGAAAAACACAAAATAATAAAAACAAATAAATAGTAATATAGTCACAAAAAGTTTTAAAGTATTAAAAATAGTAAAAAGATAATACTATATTATAAGTAAGTAACACTTTTATAAGAGTATTACCTATTATCATTCTATTATAATTAATATATTATTATAATAATAAAAAACTATAATTAATTATAGTAAAATTAGCTATTAGTTGAAATATATATAATTTTAGTTTAAATTAATAATTATATAGATACTTTATAATAGAAAAAAAGGAAACTACCAAAAAATTTTTTTTACTTTATAAATTAAATATTATTTTTTTAATAAAATAAATTCAGATTTAACATTAATTTAAAAAAAATTTTTTGAAAATTTTTTTTCTTTCTATATTATAAAGCATTTATTCCTTAGATTGTTTAGTAGGCAAATTTGTCTGTGAATTTAAAAAAATGTGTTATTTTTTTTTAATAAAATATTAAATATTAATTTTAGTAATTTAATAATTATATAAAAATATAGTTTAATATATATTTTATTAATTTATTAGAAGAAATTTTAAGTTTATAAGATATTTTTAAATAAT